CATTTTTCTTGCTTAACATATGTATAAACTATGAAGATTTCTATTTACATGAAATCTATCGTCCGATGCTAATACAGTCTGCATGCACTCTATCACTTTACAACTATTTCCCAGCAAAGCTGGCACAGTCTTTCTCATTTCTTTTTTTTTACGAGGTCGCAAAATGGCCAAGATCTATTTACATATATTTGCCTTTACAATCATACACAACAGGAAAGCTGACATGTGCTTATAGTGAAACACAAATATGCGAAAAAATTACCTAATTTTTTGTCGTAAATGCTACAGTTCGAAACTCGATCTACTGCGGGAATGATAGAAACAAGTTGGTTGCGATTGTGCCGAATGGATTTATAAGTTAATATCAAATCGGATGTGGCATATCGATTTAAGTAAGTTGATACCTAAATGGAAATTTCTTACGCATTCTTTGCGCTACAAGCGATGATATAGTATTGATCTTTTGATACGTCCTTCTTGCATCCAAGTCATTATCCAATCGCTCAGGTCTAAAAATAATTGTTAATATATATCAAAATTTTGCAATTTGTCCATAAAACAAATTCTTTGCCGAATCGCCTTCAAAACCATTCACGTATAAGATATCTAGAATACTGATATATATTCTGTAAAGACGCCACATTTTCTTTTTCATTCTAATATGATGATTTTATCCTCATAATATCGAATCTAGTTACTTTCTAAGATAGCATATTTTTAATTCCTTACTGGTCTTTTCGTACATTTTCTTGCTAAAGAATCGTTCTAAGGGACATTTTGTAGGATTATAGTTTTCCTGTAGCTTAACTATAAAATATGTGTTTAAGATCGAGTATCAGCCGCTTGATTCGAGAATTTGCTTTTATACTATTAATCTGAGTAAGCAATTCTAAACCAAAACGCGATTATGATCAATGTTTACAAATAAAGTTGGCTCGCTCACTCAATTGTATGACCAAAGCTCGAATCTCGCTGTCGGCAAAGGTAGGGGATTAAATCTGAAATTTTTTTGTTTTTCGCAATTGGGCTCATAAACAATTTATCGGGTACTGAAGCAATTTATGAGTGGGTATGATAAGGCATCGCCGCACTCTTACAGAAACGACCGTTGAAAAAGTGAATATCTACTCTTACAGTTTTGAACTGGTAGTGCCTGCATAGCGATAATAAATTCTTTGCGAATAAGTTATAGCAAACTATGGGGATCGTGATTGAATTTTTTCTATTAGGCAAGATCGTAACGGGTACATATCTAGCTATATGATATTGTAGTACTATAAACGTCAGTCGGACATCATATGATACTTCACAAAGAGCCTGATCAGTCTAACGGTCTCCATATGTCAATTTAGTATATTTTAAGCGGAACAATGGGATCAGTAGATACTGATATACTACAGGAAGAAAGATCAACATTTCAGGTAAATATAGACGAACTAGGGCCGTTAAGACTAATTTGGACTCATATCGCCCGCAATAAGCTAAAACCTTGAGGCTGCATATACGCAAAACAATAGCCACACCACGTATCCTCGTTTATCCCCGCATATCTCGTATGCGTTTAATAATACACTAATTTGTAGTCCAATCTTACCGTATAGGTTGAAATGTGGAAAATGACATCCCGGCCTAAAGTGGGTAACGGGGCAAAGTTTTTCACCACACATATTAAGGTTAAGACCGCTAACTATCTGAAATATATATTATATCGGTACGAGATAACGGAACGCCGGTCGCTTGATTAATGATCACAAGCTCATGCAACAAGGTCTTCCAATGCATCGATTCTATTCTAACGATTTATGGATTGGACAATCTAAAAGCCAACGAAGTATGTATGATCGTGGTATTTAAGATGTGAAGTTTGCAATCAAGTGCGGGATGAATACTTGTATTCACCAACATAAAGTGTCAGTACAAAATTGCTTAATGGGACACCACGAAATTTGCTAACGTATACTGAATATATAATAAAAGATATTGTCGATATACGCCAAACCTATTGCTCGTTATATTAATATATCGATATATCAATGTATCGTTTTAATATTGCGAAAGTCGCGTTAAAATAGGATTTCAAGCCAAGGCGGTAATCACGTGGTCAAAGAAGCGACCTCACGATAATTTTACCATTGTTGGTAGAGGGATTAGTCGTTTAATTAGATGTTGTGATAGAAAATATACGTTTAGTAACTTACTACACAAGGTTGTATTATACTCCTTAAATACAATGAGCGTCTACCTTCTCCAAAATAATTTTTTTCAGATATACCGACGACGGAAGGTGCTCGAATACAGAGGCACAGGAGAATGCATTAAATGCTTGAATGACTTTACAAAAAACATTGCGAGACAAATATGCTAAACTCTCGGACGCACCAAAAATATATATATATGGGCATCAGCGATCGACTAAGCAATCTAGCCTATATTAGAACCATTAGTGAAAGCAGTCTACATGGCCAAAAAGTGGATGGATGATCATGAATACGAAAATGGCGCATACGGACAAATCGGACGGTCTCACACCAAAATGATTGATGATCTTGTATTTAGATCATCTAACTATAAGATCGCTAAAAAGAGATTTCATCAGAAATCGACAGGTAATTGAGCCCTATGTAAAAGCGTAGATTACATATAGCGAGTCCATTGTGTAGTAAACAGGCCGTCCGATATTGGTAGCACAAAAGAAGCAAAAGTTTATAGCACTGTTAAGAAGCTTAAAGTACCACATCTGTAATCCGGCAAGTTTTGGTGCAGTGCTTTGTACACGGTTAAGTAGTCATCATTGGATCGCGACTCCTCCAAAATTTTTACATGTTTTTGCATGCAAAAAAAGTTCCATATTCATCTTTATGCTAACTATTACAAAGCCATGCGCACGCGAATGGTGCTACGTCTAAAAATTATACAACAGCTATATTGGAAAGGTCGGGAGCGCATGTTTGTGAATTGCGATTTTCTACAAGCAAAGAGATGTCTTAACGTTTCTACATTGTTATCGGTGTAAAAATCTGATAAAATTAGCGCTTACGCGCAGCATCGCTGTAACGAGGTGAGCCTGATACAAAAATTGATACATTCGTATTGACTTTTGGACATTATCGATTTGGATAATATTTAATCAATATTACTCAAGAAGAGGTAACGTTAACGGAACAATGCTCCACTAATTGGTTGATGTAGCGTCTACAACAAACAAATTAATCATCAATCGCCGCTATACGCGCGCGATGGGTGGTGAGCAAGAAACCCACGTAGGAGATTGTAGTTTCGCATAGTTCGATCAAGACCAAGTAGGTATAGTAAAAAAAATCACTATATAAAACACTGTTATACTCTTTCCCGCAAACCGAGCTTTCCTAGCTCTGTTTGTTTCCTCGCGCTTCCTCACGCTACGGGTACGTGACGCAAGGATTAGGCGGCCTTGTCTTTATTAATACACGGTATTACCAGTTATTTGGTGAAATTGTGCCCCGTTGCAATCGCCACAGAAATTGTTGGTGTTGATCAAGTGTTTAGGACATCGATGATACTCAGGTGTTGGTGGGGTCATATAAAGTTTTAGATCACGTGCGATACATAGTGACACGATTTCTTCTGACGATGCTGATGATCGTGCGTCCGAGCTTATCACAACAAAAATTTTCAAACTTATAAATAAACCTATCGTGAGTGCGATTCATATGACGTGTTAAGTGCAATGGCTTCGGTCGCAGCCACAAATTCTTGGATGCTAAGACGCTTCCAACAACTTTTATGAATGTTACGAAAGGGAGGAGGAGTCATTACCACACATGCGCAAATTTGATTGGAAAAAAATTGTGAGGAAAAATCGATTGATGACAGTTTGTAAAAAAAGTGTTTTCATCGAATTTGCGCATGTGTTGTTCCGCATGTGCTTCCATTTGCTGATGGGGGTGTATCGTTAGTTCGGATATTTTATCGACAGAACTAGGCAAGCAAAGTTAAGGGAGTCGAATTGTGGACCCGTTGAGCGTATGTCGTATCGCATGGCGTTTGATATCGTTACCGCGTCTTCTCTCCATTTGGCGATCTTCGATTTTAAAATAGTACAACAAACACTTTTCCAATTACCGCTACATGATATGGGTATTGCAGAAATGGTTGCTATGGTGGTAATGGGTGGTGGCAACGGTCGTCGTGATGGTTGCTGTTGGGCAATAATTGGTGGTAACGGTCGTCGTGATGGTAGCTGTTGTGGTGGTGAAAGATGTGGTGACGGGGGTATGTCATGCACTTCCCTCACTTAGGGTTGTGAGGCCTGATTAGCGGCTATATCGAACGATTCTGTGCTTGCAAGAGTTGTCAGATCTCGCAAGCACAGATTGGTCATGACGCTTTCGGACGTGACCCCCTGGAACATATTGTAGACGCACACACTAACAACTGTCAATTTTATTGCAATAAAATTACGTCAGCAGCACATGTCTGTAGTATAGTTGCCACACGCTGATCGGTCTACCCAGCTAGCGATTGCAAACAAAACAATTGACTTTAAAATGAATAAACGAAGAAAAGAAGATCAGCAGAACTCGCAATGCCGATACGCCACCAAAAACGCGTGCCCCAGAACTCGTTTATGTTGGTGGCTGTTTAAAGTCACACTAGTGCTCTCCATGGAAATTGACAAGCGGCGTCTTTGGATAATGCTTGATCGCGTCTGCATCCCTTTACATAGCGGAAAGTATGGTATAACTAGTTGCTCTGTGCATGTGAACACGATCGACGCACTACCGTACACGATACAGCAGCAAGTCAAGGACTGGCTCGAACAAAAACGCAAATAGACCCGAACGGCAAAGTCGCAAGCAAGTTCCGACTTCGTTCCCAAAAACACGCTCACTCGGTGTACCTCAGACGGACAAGCACATCTGAACGGTCTCTCAGAGGTCATGTCGTCGGACTTTACTCTGACGAGTAGCAGTGACCAAAGCTAGAAACAGCACTTGACTCTCTCTTGTATACGGCACCGTCTACTGGTGGGCAGCACCAACAGCATCGACTACGCTCTCGTAGCCGTCGCGACGTAACAGCGCAGCCAGCTCTTTCTTAGCCCGTGGAACAGCCAGCGGACCGTCGTAGATCAGACACGAGTACATCTGCACGAGCGAAGCTCCAGCTCGAATCTTGTCGTACGCATCCTGGCCAGTCGAGACACCTCCAACGCCAATGAGCGGGACTCGACCCTCGGTCAGTTTGTACATGTCTCCCAGCACCTTCGTAGACAGGTCCCGCACAGGTAAGCCGCTCAGCCCACCCGCCTCGCCCTTGGCAGCCCCTTGTAAGGTATCGGGTCGACTCAGCGTTGTGTTGGACACCACGAGACCATCTAACTGCAGGTCAAGCGCGACTCTCGCAATGTCCTGCTTGTCTTCGTCCGTCAGGTCTGGCGCAATCTTCACGAGCAGCGGAATCTCGCGCCGTTCCGACGCAGCGACTTCGTTTCGAGCCCCCAGCACACGCACAAGGAGACTTCGCAGCTCAGTACGTCCCTGCAGCGCACGCAGACCCGGTGTGTTGGGCGACGACACATTGACCACCAAATAGTCGGCGTACCGACCGAGCGCGTGCACACCGCGCACGTAGTCGGCCGCAGCGTCCTCTGTCGTCTTGTTCTTTCCTAGATTGACACCCACTACACCTGTACGATGTTTGCTACTGCTCTGCGCTCGACGCTTTGCTCGAGAACTCGTGTAGTCGGCCAGACGAGCGCCAACGTACTCGAGGCCTTTGCTGTTGAAGCCGTAGCGGTTGATCACGCCCCTGTCCTCGCACAAGCGAAAGACTCGCGGGCGGGCGTTCCCCGGCTGTGGCTCGGGCGTGACACTGCCGACCTCGACACAGCCAAAGCCCATGTCCAACATGCCCTGCATGGCCTCTCCGTCCTTGTCAAAGCCCGCAGCGATCCCCAGTGGGTTCGTGAACTCAAGACCCAGTACTTTGACGTGCAGCAGCTCGGGGTCTGCCTCCCGGTCCCGTGGCGTCAGACCCACGCGCGCGCACTGCACTGCCATCTGGTGCGACACTTCGGGGTCGAACCGCCGAAGGACAGGCAGTAGGGGCCCCGCCAGCTGTCCGACGACCCACTCGTGCGGCGCTACGCCATTGTAGGCGGCCACGACAGCCATTGCAGCGCCCCCGCCAATGGCTACATACGCAGCAGTGTGGAAGCGCGAGGACGACGAGGACGAAGAAGAAGAATGCGATGAAGAAGACGATGACAAGGAGGCGGTGTGTCTTCGAGAGGATGTGGTCCGAAGCGTTAGGACGCGACGATATGCGCGACGCATTGCGAGTCGATCGTCGCGTAGATTGAAGGGCGAGAGCAGCACAAGCGCGCGGGAAATCGGCTTTGGAGCAGTGTGTGGATGGATGGGAAGGGAAGGGATAGGAAGGGATGGACCGATGAGGTCAATGGACGAAAGGTGCGGGCAGTGTCTATGTGTCAGTATGTGCGACGATATATTGACGTGTACAGGTATCTGTCATATAGGTCTACGTCGTCATGTGGTGTCTATTTGGTAACGTGTTCATGCGTCTAGGAGGAAACCCAATGGGTATTGCAGTGGGTGTTGCAGTGGGTATTGCAGTGGGTATTGCAGTGGGTAGTTGCTGGACGCGAGCGCCAGTCGGCCAGTCAGGTGAACAGCGCATGAAGATGGCCTTCGCTTCGTCTGTGACACGGATTGTCGCCAGTGTGACATTCACCGGACGAGGTTTAAGGCGGCACGACACCTCTACGCCGGGAAGACGAAAATTCTACTGCACTCTGACCCAATGCGTCGCCGTGACGACCCGCATACTTATCATCGAGCTGTCAGCATCAGGTCAAATATAAGCGTCTAACTCTGTGCGCGCGTCTGCTGATGTCCGGAGGTTCCCACGGCATAAGCGGTGTCACTCATCATGCGCCGTTCAGCCTCATTCCCTGTCGACAGACGTCCGCATCGGCCTTGCGCGAACGCACGCGAGGAAGCAGCGCAAGATAAAGCGCAGAGGCAGTAAGATGCTGATCTGTCTGGACAGTGCACGGTGTAGCAACGCGCGGACTAGTTCACCTCCTGCATAAGCGGCCCAGATCATGCCACCCTTTCCTGCGACCAGAAGCACGGACAAGAGCAGTCGTCTCTACTGTCACGCGGTGTCCTTCCTTATCCTTCGCTCAAATGGGACCGGTATCACCTGACGCAGGCGGCCGACGGGTTTCGTTGGTTGTTTACAACAAGGCTTCCTGAACTAGCGACGGATCGTGAAGTGGAAAGGGCAACATGGTTTGAACAACTCCAGCAGCACGGCGTAGTGTTTAACGCTCATCCTCGACATCATCGATTTCCATGGGCGGTCGCAGATGAGGTGCCAAATGCATCCATTCGCACAACACTCTCCCGTCTGTCATTTAAGCTTCACAAACGTCAGCTTTCTGTGGCATTACGTCCACTGCTGCAGCGTCTGGAAGCTGCCACCAGAACGGACACATGGCAGCGAGCTGTAGCGCACCAGCGTCCGTCTCAAGTTTGGGACCATGCACATGGGCTCACAGAATACCAGGTGTGGACTTGCTATCGTATAGCAACCATGCAACTCAACCTTTACCATGAAAATCGCAAAGACGACAATAGTTGTCGCGTACATCAAGCATGTCGAGGGATTCAAGAAACACAGGCCCATATATTCTGGGATTGCCCGAAGGCGCGTGCGTGTTGGGCAAAATTAATCGGTCATTGGACCGGTGAAACTGCGGCAGACCGATTTGGTACTTGCCAATATCTTGGCAGTGCCAATCGTCAAGCCCCAGCTATCTCACCACGGTTGAGACAACGGTTGCTCAAACGGTTCATGGAAGACGTCGAGGCAGGAGTCCACGTCTGGAAACGGATTTGGTTTCTTATGAGTACCATGTGCCTCACCCACTTATGGCAGGAGCGAAACGATGCGGTATTCAGGGGAGTCCTGACTACGACATCGCAAAGTGTAACCCGTTTTTGGGAGTCAGGGATACGCCAACTCCTAGCGCTGGCCAAACGTGAACATCGCGGTATTAGTACTGTCGTGCAAGGGGCTCTCTTGCACGCCGGCATCGAACTTTTTACCCAAGCACCTCGAGACATCGAGGTTTCTCTGGGTCATAGTCACGAAACTCTTCCGGATCCGGACTTGATTTCCTGGCTCAGGAGCTTTCAGACATCTTGTACATAATCACGTGTTAATAGACAGTCATGAAATCTCTCTCTCTCCAAATGGGACCGGTGTCCAACGTAGGAACAACTCTAGCCGTGACCACTTCGCTCACCTAAGTCGAGTCTGCTGTGTGTGTATCGCACCGAATCCGCCGACGCACCACACAGGTATCCGCTCGACGTGCTCGCCCAAGTGCGTCGGCGGGTTCGGTTGGGCGAACACGTCGAGCGGATGTCTTTGTGCGCAGAACAGCAGAGTGACAGTTGTGATTGCTGGACGAACGCGGTCATTCACGACGCGTTCAAGAATCGCTCTGTTCGACCCTCTCTCGGTTTTCCGTTGTATACCCAAACTGCGTGGTCCATATATGAAAGACGGACAACTTCCACGCTTGGACAAAGCCCCGCTTGAAGTCAACAACCTGATCAGCCCCTCCGTCTGCTCGTGTGTAGCGGTAGGCGCCGTCGTCGCACGTCCTACCGACTTGCCACTTTTTGTCCTTTCGCGCACATGTTGTAGGGTCTTGGCTGCATCTCAACAAAAACATCTCTTGTTGTCCAGCAGGTTGTACGTGTTGCATCTACATGTCGCCAATGTAGGTAGGATAGCTTTGCAGCCGTTGTCGTTGCTCGAAAAGACTGTCGTGCACGCCAGTAGCTTTTGCCTGCTTTTGCCCCTTCTTCGAGGACCGATCATCACAATGGAAGAGTCGATGCACTCAACAGATGGAAAAGGCGGTCTGACAGGTCTCTCCACAAGCCGTCGGGTTTATGGCATCTCTCATCTGCAGTCAGACAACCCGTGAAACTGCCACGGGGATCTGAACTGCCATTGGCCTCGTCTGGATGCGCATACGATGAAAGTCCCTCCTGGGTATGTGCACTAGCAACCTGTTAATGTGCTCGACTGCGACCCAGCACACAAATTGAGCACGCGAGAGAGAATCTACTCGACACTCCTTCGTTGCGGTGTCAACCTCACCAAGTCGCACAGCGCGAAGACCGAGGCCGGGCATTTTGGAGCCGCATTAGTACAGCATGGAAAAGAAATGTCCAAGCGCGAGCACGTCGAACATGAACCCCCTGTAGACTTGCCCATCGTTGTACGGATGTTGAACTTGCAAAGCGCCCTTCGCGCTTCGGTCCGAGATAGAGAGAGAGAGATTTCATGACTGTCTATTAACACGTGATTATGTACAAGATGTCTGAAAGCTCCTGAGCCAGGAAATCAAGTCCGGATCCGGAAGAGTTTCGTGACTATGACCCAGAGAAACCTCGATGTCTCGAGGTGCTTGGGTAAAAAGTTCGATGCCGGCGTGCAAGAGAGCCCCTTGCACGACAGTACTAATACCGCGATGTTCACGTTTGGCCAGCGCTAGGAGTTGGCGTATCCCTGACTCCCAAAAACGGGTTACACTTTGCGATGTCGTAGTCAGGACTCCCCTGAATACCGCATCGTTTCGCTCCTGCCATAAGTGGGTGAGGCACATGGTACTCATAAGAAACCAAATCCGTTTCCAGACGTGGACTCCTGCCTCGACGTCTTCCATGAACCGTTTGAGCAACCGTTGTCTCAACCGTGGTGAGATAGCTGGGGCTTGACGATTGGCACTGCCAAGATATTGGCAAGTACCAAATCGGTCTGCCGCAGTTTCACCGGTCCAATGACCGATTAATTTTGCCCAACACGCACGCGCCTTCGGGCAATCCCAGAATATATGGGCCTGTGTTTCTTGAATCCCTCGACATGCTTGATGTACGCGACAACTATTGTCGTCTTTGCGATTTTCATGGTAAAGGTTGAGTTGCATGGTTGCTATACGATAGCAAGTCCACACCTGGTATTCTGTGAGCCCATGTGCATGGTCCCAAACTTGAGACGGACGCTGGTGCGCTACAGCTCGCTGCCATGTGTCCGTTCTGGTGGCAGCTTCCAGACGCTGCAGCAGTGGACGTAATGCCACAGAAAGCTGACGTTTGTGAAGCTTAAATGACAGACGGGAGAGTGTTGTGCGAATGGATGCATTTGGCACCTCATCTGCGACCGCCCATGGAAATCGATGATGTCGAGGATGAGCGTTAAACACTACGCCGTGCTGCTGGAGTTGTTCAAACCATGTTGCCCTTTCCACTTCACGATCCGTCGCTAGTTCAGGAAGCCTTGTTGTAAAGAACCAACGAAACCCGTCGGCCGCCTGCGTCAGGTGAACCTTAGCTTCCTCTAGAACCTTGTGTCCCCTTCTCACTCCAGATATGCGACCTCGGCTTTCGGACGACCAGTCATAGTCATACCGAAAAGGAGGAGCGTGCCGAAGTGTCAACTGAGGCTGGAGCGCTAAATCAGTTCCGATCCGAAAAGGTGGGGATGCCAGTAATATCGCAGTTGCCCATCGTCGTAACTTGGGGTGCGAATGATTGGTGACGTGCTGTCCGGACAGTGGTATGCTGAAAACAAACTCGGACGGCCCCGTCCGTCTAATACGCAAGTCCGAGATGGTGCATGGTACGATCCGGTCATACGTATAGCCGAGCAACTGCCTGCCCCGTGCATCCCGGATATATGGATTCTTGCTCCATCCAAGCGTCGCCCAAAATTGATGAATAGATTTCGAGTGGGGATCCGTGTGTGCTAATGCTTCAGGGAAAGTCGAGTAATACGACAGAACCCATTCATCCTCTTCCCACCAGCTTCCTGCACCGGCGAGTAGAGTTGGTGTGTACGCACGTACCCGGTCTCCAAACAGGCTTAATTGGTCGTCTGTAGGCTCCAGGAGCCTGTCGATGTCCGCTATGAATGAGGTTTTGGCCGGCTTTGACAAAGAGGTTGACCACCCCCCTGACCGCGGCCGTTCGTGCAAAACAAGTGCTGAAGTAGTCGGCTGACCCTGATAAGCCCAAAAACGCCACGCTCCAAAATACTTGTCGTGAGCTTGCGTGAGCCACCGGAGAGCGTGTTTAGTGCGCTGTGTCTTAATAGCAACCTCGACCGAGACGAGCCCCACTCCCCCGGCCTTAGTCGGAGTAAAGAGGAGACCCGGATTGATCTTGTGACGACGCTTCGGTCCGAGATATGATGCTATATGCTGGAAGCGTGGAAGAGCTATGGAGGGATGCGTACGACTGGTCGCAAAATGTAAGGGGAGTTAGTGAGCCACTGGAAGCGAACAATGTCATGCAATGCGCATTGCCGTACGACCCATTGCGCACTTGCGTGTGGGTTTTAGCTAAAGAGAACCGGACAAAGCTATCAACCATGTGGTCGCATCGCACATAAGTGTTAGACAGTCTTGCGTCTCGACGAGGATGCCACTCGCTCGCTCCTCCCTAACTGTCAACTTAGGTCGTACGGGATCGTAAGAATCAAACAAAGCACACAGTACGGCGAGCCAGCATTGTCGGACCATTCCTGTTACCTTGTGCACCCATTGCCGCCAGCTGTTGGATGACGCAACTGCTTTCGCCGCAACCGCTGGTCTGGTCGAATTGTTTACAAGTCTCCCGAGCTCTTCACGATGGGCATTGTAGTCCCTTCTGTTGTTCCGACCTCGTCTGCATCATTTCAAGAAGAATTCATAGGACACTGGACCGGTGGGGGTGCGACGAACGCAGTTCTTTCCACCTTCTTTCAGCACATTCCCAAATTTTCACGGTTCAGCTCAAGCCAGTCTTTTTTCCTTCGGGGCAGTCACGTCGGAGGGAATCCTCCCCTTGGGGAGCCGACGGGGTCGAAGATCTGACGCGGGCGCGCTGCACTCGCAGACGAGGTATGGGTGTAGGAGACCGACGGGTCGCGTAAGCGGCCTAGCAGGGGTGTCTAACGGACTGGAGGCGTACCCCGCGCCACGTGTCGCCGCTGCGGCGAGCGCACACTCCACGTCAAGGGGCCGCGCAAGCGGCTGTAGGGGGCCACCATCACAGATGGTTGAGCTCCTCGGAGAGATATATGGCGGGTTGGCGCTCTCCACGCCACGCAGTCACTTCGGTGTTCGCACTCCACGTCGGGGGCCGCGCAAGCGGCTGTAGGGGGCCACCATCGCGGATGGTTGAGCTCCTCGGAGAGATAGACGGCGGGTTGGCGTTCTCCACGCCACGCAGTCACTTCGGTGATCGCACTCCACGTCGGGGGCCGCGCAAGCGGCTGAAGGGGGCCACCATCGCAGATGGTTGAGCTCCTCGGAGAGATAGACGGCGGGTTGGCGTTCTCCACGCCACGCTGTCACTTCGGTGATCGCGCTCCACGTCGGGGGCCGCGCAAGCGGCTGAAGGGGGCCACCATCGCAGATGGTTGAGCTCCTCGGAGAGATAGACGGCGGGTTGGCGTTCTCCACGCCACGCAGTCACTTCGGTGTTCGCACTCCACGTCGGGGGCCGCGCAAGCGGTCCTAAAGGGGTTTGTTGCCTTATATGGCAGCATACCCGCGTTGTCCGTGCTGCCGCTCCGGCGGTACGCATGTCCCCAGTCTACTTGGTCGCGCCAGCGGTCATGATTGACTCGTAGTTGGCTTCGGTAGGAGGGTCTCTGACCTCGTTGCCGTCGCCCCTGGCTCTACGGAGCCCTTTAGTTGTCGACCCGATACCCGGGCCGTACTTCTTGTCACACTTATCAGTCGTTAGTTATCATAATAATGGACGTACTTGACACCACCACCATCATTTCAAGAAGAATACGAGAGTGCCAGCCAAGAGAGGTATGTTGTAAAGTATTGGCCCGACGGCGATTTTACCGACTGTCTCTCCTGGCGTCTTCGTAATATGTCCCATGTGTGTACAATACCGTACTGAGGAACCATGTCTCAAACATCGGTGTGCGCATACCCGTGCGTCATCTCCGAGAGTGCGTGGCCGTGTAAAAAGCCGCCTCACGAAGGGAAAGGCTGTCCACATTTGAGATTACCCCCTTTTATCTCTTGAACAAAAGCTGATCTTGAGTCCAGTGTCGTTCTTTCGGGCTTGTACCTACTACCAGTATTTGTAAATGCCGTAGAAGCGGTCACGAAAACGTTTCTCATTGTGCAATCTACCCGGCGAGCAACAAGCGCCATCAAGATGCGTGCACGCCGCCTCGCGTTCTTGATCTTCGTATTTGTGGCCGATATCTCGCTCGATGTCGCTGCTATAGACCTGAGCAGCACGCCCCGTTTGAAGGCAACTACACTCACGTCAAATATTGTGCCAAAGCTTCACGGTGTCGCTGACGACAAGCGCCCACTCGCTGAGCACGGCAACGAGGAGAGAGTTGGTGGAAACCCGGACTTATTGGTAGTACGGGAGGCTGAAGAACTGGCGTCGGCGATTCGCAGAACAGAGTCGTCCTCCACCCAAGCATCTCTCATGGTGATAGATGACAAGGCTCATGGCTTTGACAAGTGGCTTGAGATGATCCACACTCATACTAAGGAACAAGGCGATTGGTTTGACCCGGAAGAGGTAAAACGCTTGTCGCGCTCTAATGCGAACAAAGACATGCTACAGTTCAGTCTATGGCTTCTTGACCGCCCCGGCGACATGAAGAGTCGCACTCATTACATTCAGAACTTGATCTGCAAGAACAATGCGGAAGCGACTAAGACACTCACAAAGATGTGGCTGGAACGGGAGACGAGTCCCAACGACGTTTTTGAATCTGTGAAAGATTGGGAGAATGGATTGGACGTATGGTTTAATTACGCTGCCTCGTATTGGAATTTGGTGGGTACCCCTCAAAAGTACTCCTTAAAGTTGGCGTTGGATAACTACCTACATTTTTGTTCGTTTATGCCAAAGCGGCTGTACGGCATCTACATTCAAGAGCATCTTGAGAGTAGTCCCAGCACGTTTGCTCAGCTGTTGCAAAATGCTCTATTTCATCACTTGTATAAAACGTTGAAAAAGACGCCGGCTTCAATGTCAACTTTGTTAGCGCGTGGACATCCTGGAATTTTATCGGTAATCCAATTGGGCTGGAACAGTGTCGAGTTTCGCACATTCGAAGCCTACACCTTGTATCACGCACGTGGAAAAGGTTACGAGCAGAAGGCGAAGAGCGCGTTCGATTCGAAGAACATGGAGACGATATCCAAATTCGTTGAGGGGATCAAGTAGTGCGTTTGTTTAGCTTGACAGACCATCTAAGTCTGAAACACTTTTACGAGGTAGGAGGTTAAGTAAATGATAACGTAGTTACGAATTCAGCATTTTTCTTTCACGTGTGCATGCTGGGCTCAGCTTGCCACCAGGGTCTCATTCTATAAACAACATGGAGCTGTCTAACTTCCACGGATTGGGGTAAATTGTTGGAAGTGCAAGCTGCACATGCATTAAGTCCAGATATGTAACCTACACTAGGTCATACATCAAGTGTTCTACACGCTACAACAAAGGTATAGACTGGGTAGTTTTCACTTGTATTTTGATAAGCTGCTGACGAAGCCCTGGCGGAAGGCCGTAACGCGTCTCGCACGCGTTTTTATACAAATCTTTTGTTTTACTGTGTGTTTACATTATACATACAATTAAACCAATATATCCCGGCGACTGATTGTGCAAGGAACACACTAGGCGGCCAACCTCTAACATATGTATCAGGGTGACGCTCAGTGCTTGCTTAAGCATTTGTTGACAATGTTGGCAATGAATCGTTATAATCATGGAACCAGAGCATAAAGCTGGTAATAAATTGTCATATAGCGGCATTACTAAATGAATAAAATGCATTAGCAGCATAAACGGCCAACTAGCTATCCTCAAGTCTACGAGAGAAGGGAAACGATTGCATGAAGCTACTCGGAATCGGTGTTGATTGTAGATTGGATTTCTTAGTTGTAAAAAATCAATAACATTGGCGCCGCTGCTGGTCTTAAACTACGTAAAAAGTATTGGCTACAAGAGAACCGCTTGCGTTTATCAATATAGACATCCCTGATTATAAAAGGAGCAAATGAAATGTAAGCCATACTTTTTAACATTCCTTATAGTGTAAGTCCAGCCTTTGACAACAACATGATAGCTATTTTTGTTGTGCATGATCACCCTAATCCAGCATTTTTGTGTCATAGATATTTCAAACAGTAAATAATTGTCCGCTGACTACCATCACAGATTTACAAAGATCAAAACCTTTATATAGAAAAAACTGTCGCAAAGATTGCCCCAAATTAGTATTGTATGCGCACGGCCTAAAGCTACGTATTTCGACATGCATTTATTGTGTGTAATAGTTTGGGATTTACTTGAGTGAAGATGAGGATTGCGTAGAACTGACAAAGAAAATATAGGGTTTAACAAAGCAAATTTAGGAACGAAAAATGTCAGGTCATTTGGAAAGTATGAGAGCTGTTTAAACCGTTTACACTTAATGGTTAATTATTGTTCGCGCACATCATTGCCAAGACACCTTGTCGACTTAACATCGCACAAAGCGTGAGCAAGATATACAAGTTTGTGCGTGCTTCCAATCTCTTACTACATATATTCAGACAGTTTTTCTACTTCTTATTCTTGCACGTTTGGTAGCAGCAAAAGCCGTGGACTGCAGGATGCACTGCTTATAAGTTCTTGAAACGGCGAGCGGTAATTACTGCGAGTGTTATCTTGTCACATGTCGTAGTCAATGTTGACCATGTTATCATGGATGCACACGTGGGATGTATATAACACAAGACGAAGAAGTACGGCTGACGCTATCGCTCGACAATGATAATCGCTGTCGGTGAAGTGCCTATGAGAGACTGCAAGAATTTTATCCTCAGACTATCAAACGATGTGGTCCTTTTAGCCTTCCTTCGATCAGCTCAGCACAAAATATTTCCATAATACATAATTAGATGTAACACAAAGCTGGGCAAATAAGTCCTTTTGCGTGAATCAGATACTACCTATTGCCTCTCGAGCGTTTTGCATTTATAGGTTGCAAAAAATTCTTGGCTTGACATCGAACTTTGGCTCGTCGATATGGTATACCACCCTGAGCCTCGCACGATCAATTTTTACCCCTTATTTGTCCCCTCGGCAGCAAGAAAAGAAAAATGAATCGCTACAATCGCACATACGCAAACTATGGGCGTGTTTAGCGATGGTGCAAGCCACTAGCTTACCCTTTGCATCGTGCAATATCGCAAGTCATGAGATGAAAATGTATTACGAATGACAATAAATTGTACTTGTTAAGTCAAATATATCGCTACATCCAACGCAAAAAGTTGTGCTTTAAATAGTTATATACCTCAACCACAATGTTTTGGGGTACATGCAGGCCTCTTTATGTACGGATTCAACCGTAATTACATAAATAGCTTATTTACGGCTTGACCAAAATAATATAAACGGATTACTGTTAATTTAGCTCAAAAACCGGCAATGAGGCTCAGCCTTTATATTTGCTTGCAATGCAACACTCCCTCGAAAGAATTTTGTGTGTCATTGATGCAAAAACCGTCTTTGGCTTCCTTTGGAATCAAAAATCATGAATAACTTGACTTGTGCCGGGAAAACAGTAGCAACTCCACCACAGAACCGTTGAGGGTACTTGAACCTGTATTTAACAACACCTCATGATTCATCGAAAGTACAATCTCCTTGAAGGAGTACAATGTCGACATGGGAGCAGGTTCACATCTCACGGCATTCAACAGTTTGCCGTTCTCCGGCTCAATCAAATCGATCTCTTCGATTTTAACGCACCAGAAGGCGCTCCTTATGGCTCCTCACGATCGCACTGAATTTAAAGTTGCGAACATAAACCAGGTCTTGAGGTGCGACGGGTAAAAGCTTGGAGTCCTATAAATTTGCGCCTGTATTTTGGGATTTCGCTCAGCCACAATCTCATCAATACCGTTGTTAGGACTAATCAACAGATCCGCAACGATTTTACAACATCTCTTATTTCTACATCATCCATGGAAGCAAGGATCTTATACACAAATGAAACTTTTCAATCAATGATAATCTTCACTTCGACAAGTCTAGCAGCAAAGTTTTTGAAAGTCCATACATGCCATTCGTTAGGGTACAGTGTGTCCGCCTCACCATCATCTGCCAGGAATGAGCCTTTGGCGCCGACGCCTTCAATTAAGAACAACATCAAACTCTTCAAATGTTTTCGCTGCAGTGACAACGTGACAGAGTGTCCTTAAAGCTGCTTGAATGTCACCACCACGCGTGCTGCAAAGGCTTCAGCAATCATGATGTAAATCCTTCAACGCTAGGATGGCGTGCACACCGGGTTCCTTTCCGCAAAGTTGGCACAAACACGGACATGTTTGGCCTTGAAACAGCCACCGACTTTGCGCATAGACTCCTAACGGAAGGTAGCGAGTTTTGGGCAAGCCGTCTTCATTTAGCTCATCAGGTTCTGCTTTCGACATAGGTTGGATGTTTTGGAGGTCACCAATCCGTGGAAATTGTCATTACCTAAATGGACGTACACGTCTTGTAATACGATGTCCAGCTGGTGCGCGCTACACCAAACTCGAATAGGACCAGGCTTTGCAGCATTTTGGAATTTGGTGACAACCGCTGAATCGGCCTGACATTGTTATGCAATCTGAATAGGTGCCAATGATGATGTCACGCCATTGAGGCAGCACAGCGTCGAGCGCTTCACAATCAGTCAAGAATATGACCTCGCCAGTGTGTCGTTTTTTCACTGGAATCTTAAAAAATGAACGTTGAAAATGCCATACTAAAAAGATGTAAATGGAGACGGGTGCCGAGATACGAAGTACTCATCCGTGTCGACATATCCAGTGTAATAGAGAGCGTCCAAGACTGCTCTAACAGCACTGCAATCTTTTGTAAATCGTTGGCAACAGAAAACCGAGCATACTTGACTACGGTTGCGTCAATGGCACATCCAGTCGAAGCCAATCCTGTCAATTCCTTCATTTCCAGCAAAATACGATAACTCTGTCGAAACGTGAATGCAGCTGCCAAATATCCAGTAGCAAGGTCAAATTACAGGGAATTCTTGATATCAATACGGTTGCGGGCGACACCTTCTTCATCTTCAAGGTCTTCAGACTTGTCATCAATGTCAAAGAACGGCTGCGTCTTCTTTGTGTAGCTTTCTCCGTTACCTTTATCTGGAATTCAAAGCATGTCTCCTATGGTTTTTTTTTTGACAATTATCGCATTGATTGTGTGCTGCCTCGGCACCTGCTGAGATCCAAAAAGGAATGTAAGATGTGCCTCACGTGCTGGACATTTCCAAAGTAGCCTTTATTAACTTCCTTTAAAGAGGACTTGGTACTCCTTCCACCTTTTGGGGTGCTGTTATTTCAGGTGCTGCATATAGTTGTCGATTCGGAATGGGGCCGAGTAATTATTCGTCTTGGTAGTTCTCGCACGTTTCGATCCTGATCTGCTCTAGCGACTGAAGTGAATACAGAAACGACATTCCACTGAGACAACAGTGCGGTCCCTGGTGCTCATCTGAGAGACTCACACACCATATTTTAGAGAATGGTCATTCTGAAAGGGAGTCTCTAGATTTTCTTCGAGGAGATTTGATATGTACCAATTTACACCTAGGTTTGTTGCGGGTACCAGGGCTTTGGGCTTGGTTTTGCTGTTAGTCGCGAGGATGGGGGTCTTTTTAGATAGTAGAGGAGTCAATCTTGGGTCCGTTTCTCTTATCCATTAGCTTTTTTCTCACACATTTTTACGGACTCGCCCACTCGCCCATTACTCCAAACGATGTCCCAATCACAATCTATCTATGTTTCTAATCCATTTCAAAACCAGGTTATATACGGCTTGCAAGAAACAGATTTTGCGGCGTCAAATCTGTGAATACTTCAAATGTCCGTATATAAAGAGGCCTGGGTATATCTCATCTTCCGCTTCTGCAGTACATAAACTGAATGTAATAAGTGCTGAAACATTCATCCATGTCAACTAGGCAAAAGGCCCGTGTTCTTCAAAAATGATAGCATATTGTTTCATATATTTTCACAAGGTTATTTCACTGCTGGTCTTTCTTTACATTAATTTTGGCCGTACATGAACAAATGACATCGCGTATAGCAAGTTCAAGTGGCTACGCTATTCATTCGAAAAAACAAGAAGGGTACATTAATATTGGAGAATTGCGTAGCTTTTATGAT